ATAGTTGATAAGCTGAGCTGAGCTCTCTGGTGACTCCCCTCCCCCAGATAAAAGAAAAAAGAATCAGTTAATGCGGCAAAGCAAATGACTAATCTCAAAAAAATAAAAAATAACAGGGTTTTCACTATAGTACTGAAGCCCAGCAGCACACCAGGCCTAAACCACTCAACCGCTGGGGCCACAGCACTAGGGATTTTTTAAGATACAAAACCTACACTGTCAGGTTAGCTATTGTGTATTGTAAGACTACTGTTTCACATAGAAATATAATAAGAAATAGAGCTAAAGAATCAGAAAAATTTAATGACTGAACAGCTGCAACTGATCAGCTAAAATCCATCTATTTTGTCCATTAACTACAGTTTACAAGGTCGGATTATTCATTGCTGCATATGAACGAGGTTATAGTTCAGATGTTAAAAACTGAACCCCTTGTTTTCTCTCTCCTGGGACTCACTGTGTGCCCAGAGCTCTGTTATTCAGTTTGTAACACACAGTTAGAGCACTAGTGAGTGCAAATCACTACAATAATCAAGTGCAGTCCTTTAGATTTCTGTGTATCCTCCACTTTGTCACTTGAGTTCCATTAACCAATCACATGTGAGGCAGTAAACAGTGTGTGCCCGAGGTGGTTTCAAAAAGCCATCTTGAAACCACCAGCTAGTGAACAAATTACCTCTTCTAATTGCAACACTCAAAAAACAAATTAAGGGAACGCTGTATCATGACAGCATAACAGGAATTCAGCTTAACTTCATGGATATCAATCTGTCCAGTTAGTAACCACAAACATTTGTGAATCCATTTTATCTGCTTTGGTGCAAATAAAAGTGACAACAGGACCTGAAACCAACTGAGGACCTCTGAGATGGCATGCATTGGTAGTGACAAGCACACCAAGTAAACAGTGGTTGAATACTGCAGTACAATCAAAAGCATTGTTTGCATATGAACATGTGATACTGTTGCATTTAAGCGGTTGCTTCAAAGATGGTCCTCAAGGTTTTGCCCACTTGCTGTCAGTCGCCATCTTCAAAGCCACGTGGGTTTGTGAAAAACCACAATAAAATGACAACAAAATTGAGTCAGTCTGCAATACCCCTGAAGCTTAACCGAATTTGTGTGACACAGTGATGAAGAAAACTATAGTTTACATTTTTAATTGAACACCCCCC